CTTGACTATAGGTAAGTCCATAGTCTTGCCTATAGTCTAGTCCATAGCCTTGACTATAGTCCAGTTCATAGTCTTGACTATTGTCCAGTTCATACTATTGCCTATAGTTCGGACCATAGTCTTGACTATTAGCCAGTCTATAGTAAATTGTCTTTACTATAGTATTGTATATTTCTGACTATAGTCCAGGCCGAAACCATTTTATTTACAGTTGAATTCTAGATATTTATAATGTTAATCACACGTTATTTTTTACTTTTAGATTTTGTTTTTCTTTTTATAATTATAATCAATAGGATTGAAAAAATAATAAAATAGTAAGAAAACAACTTTTATCGAAATTTATTTTTTTTCACATTTTTATTTCAGTTTCTCCTGACTAAAAATAATCATTTTTGCATAAAAGCTAAGCATATTCTTTTTTTTGTGAACAGTAAATCTTTCTCTGTTTTATTTTAGCTTTTCTAACGCAATCTATGCCATTGACATAATTTCACTCGTGTGCATTTTTTTAAAAGTAGAATTTTTTTTATTTTTCATTTAATATTTCAAAGATCAGCCAGCAGCAGCATTTAGCATTGGTTTAGCTGTTCTAATGCTACAACTGGCTGCATGATGAAATGAACTAAGTCAAGACCTTCACGTTTAAATGTTGCCACTAGTAGTTGTAGTTAGTAAGCAACATGTTCTGTTCTTATTCTAATGAAACTCCTAGATGAAGGCATTTCTTTAAGCTGTAAACAAACTACTTGTTATTGTTGTTGTTTAAATAAATTCAGCGCGATCGCATACAAAAATATAAATTCTCGTTTATATGTATGTAAGTGATCATGATTTTCACTTGAAATCCCATTAAAAAAGTTTTTTCCTCTTGACAAACTCTAGTTTTATATTTAGTTTATTCTTGTTTGTATATTTTCTATATTTAAACTAAATCGCTTTTAATAATAAAACCAACGATTAACTCTTTGCCAACTTCCTCCCCAGGTTGTAAGTAAGTAGCAGGCAGGATTTCTGGTTGTTGTCTGTCATAAATATGGTGATTTGTTCTAAGTGCTTTTAATAAGAATGAATGAGAAAACTTAATGTGCTTGAATAAAACTAATGATAATGATAGTTGTAGTTGTAGTAACTAAGTAGTAGAGAAAAAAGGGAACCATAATCGATTATGTTCAGTTAAAAGAAGTTTGCTTCATAATAGATAATTTTTAAAAGTAAATGACTGTTTGCCTATAAAAACGATTGAGTTGTTACCCTGTCATTATGGGTAATAAGCTAAATATTGTTTTTTATGTCGATTATTTTAAAAGTTTTTAACAATTTGAGATATTTGATACGAAGAGATTATTTGAAAAGATTGGAGTAGTAAGCTAGTTACAAAGGATATATTCAATTTGTTAAATACTTTTCAGATTGGGGAACAATTATTCAATATATAGTCGAGACTATTGTATAGTCTATAATCTAGACCATAGTCCAGTCTCGACTAGAGCCTGTACTATAGTCTCGGCTGTAAAGTGGACTGAACTATAGTCTAGTCTATAGTCCAGTCTATAGTCTAGTCTATAGTCTAGTATATAGTCTAGTCTACAGTCTAGTCTACAGTCTAGTCTACAGTCTAGTCTATAGTCTAGCCTATAGTCTAACCTATAGTCTAGTCTATAGTCTAGTCTAGTCTATAGTCTAGTCTATAGTCTAGTCTAGTGTCTAGTCTATAGTCTAGTCTCTAGTCTAGTCTATAGTCTAGTCTATAGTCTAGTATATAGTCTAGTATATATAGTCTAGTCTATAGTCTAGTCTATAGTCTAGTCTATAGTCTAGTCTATAGACTAGTCTATAGTCTAGTCTATAGTCTAGTCTATAGTCTAGTCTATAGTCTAGTCTATAGTCTAGTCTATAGTCTAGTCTATAGTCTAGTCTATAGTCTAGTCTATAGTCTAGTCTATAGTCTAGTCTATAGTCTAGTCTATAGTCTAGTCTATAGTCTAGTCTATAGTCTAGTCTATAGTCTAGTCTATAGTCTAGTCTATAGTCTAGTCTATAGTCTAGTCTATAGTCTAGTCTATAGTCTAGTCTATAGTCTTCTATAGTCTAGTCTATAGTCTAGTCTATAGTCTAGTCTATAGTCTAGTCTATAGTCTAGTCTAGTCTATAGTCTAGTCTATAGTCTAGTCTATAGTCTAGTCTATAGTCTAGTCTATAGTCTAGTCTATAGTCTAGTCTATAGTCTAGTCTATAGTCTAGTCTATAGTCTAGTCTATAGTCTAGTCTATAGTCTAGTCTATAGTCTAGTCTATAGTCTAGTCTATAGTCTAGTCTATAGTCTAGTCTATAGTCTAGTCTATAGTCTAGTCTATAGTCTAGTCTATAGTCTAGTCTATAGTCTAGTCTATAGTCTAGTCTATAGTCTAGTCTATAGTCTAGTCTATAGTCTAGTCTATAGTCTAGTCTATAGTCTAGTCTAAGTCTAGTCTATAGTCTAGTCTATAGTCTAGTCTATAGTCTAGTCTATAGTCTAGTCTATAGTCTAGTCTATAGTCTAGTCTATAGTCTAGTCTATAGTCTAGTCTATAGTCTAGTCTATAGTCTAGTCTATAGTCTAGTCTATAGTCTAGTCTATAGTCTAGTCTATAGTCTAGTCTATAGTCTAGTCTATAGTCTAGTCTATAGTCTATCTATAGTCTAGTCTATAGTCTAGTCTGTCTATAGTCTAGTCTATAGTCTAGTCTATAGTCTAGTCTATAGTCTAGTCTATAGTCTAGTCTATAGTCTAGTCTATAGTCTAGTCTATAGTCTAGTCTATAGTCTAGTCTATAGTCTAGTCTATAGTCTAGTCTATAGTCTAGTCTATAGTCTAGTCTATAGTCTAGTCTATAGTCTAGTCTATAGTCTAGTCTATAGTCTAGTCTATAGTCTAGTCTATAGTCTAGTCTATAGTCTAGTCTATAGTCTAGTCTATAGTCTAGTCTATTGTCTAGTCTATAGTCTAGTCTATAGTCTAGTCTATAGTCTAGTCTATAGTCTAGTCTATAGTCTAGTCTATGGTCTAGTCTATAGTCTAGTCTATAGTCTAGTCTATAGTCTAGTCTATAGTCTAGTCTATAGTCTAGTCTATAGTCTAGTCTATAGTCTAGTCTATAGTCTAGTCTATAGTCTAGTCTATAGTCTAGTCTATAGTCTAGTCTATAGTCTAGTCTAGTCTATAGTCTAGTCTATAGTCTAGTCTATAGTCTAGTCTATAGTCTAGTCTATAGTCTAGTCTATAGCTAGTCTATAGTCTATAGTCTAGTCTATAGTCTAGTCTATAGTTAGTCTATAGTCTAGTCTATAGTCTAGTCTATAGTCTAGTCTATAGTCTAGTCTATAGTCTAGTCTATAGTCTAGTCTATAGTCTAGTCTATAGTCTAGTCTATAGTCTAGTCTATAGTCTAGTCTATAGTCTAGTCTATAGTCTAGTCTATAGTCTAGTCTATAGTCTAGTCTATAGTCTAGTCTATAGTCTAGTCTATAGTCTAGTCTATAGGTCTAGTCTATAGTCTAGTCTATAGTCTAGTCTATAGTCTAGTCTATAGTCTAGTCTATAGTCTAGTCTATAGTCTAGTCTATAGTCTAGTCTATAGTCTAGTCTATAGTCTAGTCTATAGTCTAGTCTATAGTCTAGTCTATAGTCTAGTCTATAGTCTAGTCTAGTCTATAGTCTAGTCTATAGTTAGTCTATAGTCTAGTCTATAGTCTAGTCTATAGTCTAGTCTATAGTCTAGTCTATAGTCTAGTCTATAGTCTAGTCTATAGTCTAGTCTATAGTCTAGTCTATAGTCTAGTCTATAGTCTAGTCTATAGTCTAGTTCTATAGTCTAGTCTATAGTCTAGTCTATAGTCTAGTCTATAGTCTAGTCTATATCTAGTCTATAGTCTAGTCTATAGTCTAGTCTATAGTCTAGTCTATAGTCTAGTCTATAGTCTAGTCTATAGTCTAGTCTATAGTCTAGTCTATAGTCTAGTCTATAGTCTAGTCTATAGTCTAGTCTATAGTCTAGTCTATAGTCTAGTCTATAGTCTAGTCTATAGTCTAGTCTATAGTCTAGTCTATAGTCTAGTCTATAGTCTAGTCTATAGTCTAGTCTATAGTAGTCTATAGTCTAGTCTATAGTCTAGTCTATAGTCTAGTCTATAGTCTAGTCTATAGTCTAGTCTATAGTCTAGTCTATAGTCTAGTCTATAGTCTAGTCTATAGTCTAGTCTTGTTTAGTCTATAGTCTAGTCTATAGTCTAGTCTATAGTCTAGTATATAGTCTAGTCTATAGTCTAGTCTATAGTCTAGTCTATAGTCTAGTCTATGGTTTAGTCCATAGTCTAGTCTATAGTCTATATAAAATCGGGACAATAGTCTTATCGATATAAAAAGCAGATATAGACCATAGTCGAGTTAATGGAAGATTATCACACCTATAAATTCCAATTAAAGAATTGCCAACAAATTTCAAGACAAGTTCTAACCCTCCATCCCATAGGAGAATGGTGTAAATTTATAATAATTTATCAATAAACAACATAAGATTACTTAAATGAAAAACCCGATTTGAGAAGACAGGACAATTATTGACTCTATTTGTTGAAATGACAAACAACAAGTTTTTTTCTAGTGGCAGACATGTGCGAATGAACTTCTTATAACGGAGTTTGATTTGCAAACATGAAACACGCAAAAAAAAACGCAATCGTACAAATTATAACAAATAAGATTAATAAAACTTTTTATGTGCAGATAAGTGCCGGTGAACTGGTTGAGGATTTAAAAGCAAAAACAAATTGTGATTTCTTTCATTTTAATTGAGCCGCAACAGGCCCAACAAAGTCCAGGCAACATACATCCATACATAGTTAATAAACATTTGTAGGCGATGTTAAGTGTCATTATTTTTTAAAGTGAAAATAAAATATTTGAGTTTAATCTATAAAAATTACATTAATTAAAATTGTATTTGTTTCTTTAATTACAGAAATACATAGTGTTTCGGGTGAACCCAACTATAAGTATGTGAACTTGACTTGGGAAGTGGAATTTGTTGGATCCGCTGATGCAGATGCTATAACAAATAGCAGCGCCGAAGTAGAACCACCCTCATCATTTCAGGTGTTCTTTTGTGAAATACAATCGTTTGGTCCACATCGCTGCAGATCTAAAGTTGTAAATGGTTCTACTTCTTTACAAATGTATGATAATACGGACAATGATTTGGAAGTAGTAGATAAAATGTAGGATTATAAAGCAACATTTTAAAAGAAAAAGTCCCATTTTAAAGTATTATTTTATTTCTTTTAACTTCCCACTTTTAGAAGACAAGTGCGCCAATATATGACCCAAGTTGATAACCTTAGAATGGCCACCAAATATAGTTTTCATATACGCTCCCTGCCCAAACATAAAAACATGAAGGTAACAGGACGTTCTGAAATCTTTAATAACGAAATTGAGGGTGAAGATTTCCTAAGTAATAATATGGTTCAGGGACAAACTATTGTTGTACCCACTAAAGGATGTAAGTTTGCTCTGTTTTAGGGAAATAAATGGGATAGTTTTAGGTTTAAAACTTGTGTCTTAAATTTAGTTTCAGCCCAAGCTACTAGATGTTTACCTACCGCTTCCGAAATTGAGGTCGAAACTGGTCCATATTTTGGTGGCAAAATCGTGGTAGATGGCGGCAATTGTGGTATTAAGGGTGATCCTAATGATGCCAAAGATAAATATGTTATGCGTATTGATCATAAAGCTTGTGGCAGTATGGTTAAACCGGAAACGAATACGGTGGAAACCTTTATAACGGTACAGGAGAATTTGGGCATATTTACTCATAGTACAAGAAGGTAACTATGAACATTTACTTTTCTCTTTATTTTTTTTTTTTTTGCAAAAAAGTTAATGACAAAATTGTCTGAACCAGAACTAAAGAAAAACTAAACTAGAAGTGATCAAAAACTATACTGAAGTAGAACTGAACTAAAACTGAACTAAAACTGAACTAGAACTGAACTAGAACTGAACTAGAACTGAACTAGAACTGAACTAGAACTGAACTAGAACTGAACTAGAACTGAACTAGAACTGAACTAGAACTGAACTAGAACTGAACTAGAACTGAACTAGAACTGAACTAGAACTGAACTAGAACTGAACTAGAACTGAACTAGAACTGAACTAGAACTGAACTAGAACTGAACTAGAACTGAACTAGAACTGAACTAGAACTGAACTAGAACTGAACTAGAACTGAACTAGAACTGAACTAGAACTGAACTAGAACTGAACTAGAACTGAACTAGAACTGAACTAGAACTGAACTAGAACTGAACTAGAACTGAACTAGAACTGAACTAGAACTGAACTAGAACTGAACTAGAACTGAACTAGAACTGAACTAGAACTGAACTAGAACTGAACTAGAACTGAACTAGAACTGAACTAGAACTGAACTAGAACTGAACTAGAACTGAACTAGAACTGAACTAGAACTGAACTAGAACGGAACTAGAACTGAACTAGAACTGAACTAGAACTGAACTAGAACTGAACTAGAACTGAACTAGAACTAGAACTGAACTAGAACTGAACTAGAACTGAACTAGAACTGAACTAGAACTGAACTGAACTAGAACTGAACTAGAACTGAACTAGAACTGAACTGAACTAGAACTGAACTGAACTAGAACTGAACTAGAACTGAACTAGAACTGAACTAGAACTGAACTAGAACTGAACTAGAACTGAACTAGAACTGAACTAGAACTGAACTAGAACTGAACTAGAACTGAACTAGAACTGAACTAGAACTGAACTAGACTGAACTAGAACTGAACTAGAACTGAACTAGAACTGAACTAGAACTGAACTAGAACTGAACTAGAACTGAACTAGAACTGAACTAGAACTGAACTAGAACTGAACTAGAACTGAACTAGAACTGAACTAGAACTGAACTAGAACTGAACTAGAACTGAACTAGAACTGAACTAGAACTGAACTAGAACTGAACTAGAACTGAACTAGAACTGAACTAGAACTGAACTAGAACTGAAACTAGAACTGAACTAGAAACTGAACTAGAACTGAACTAGAACTGAACTAGAACTGAACTAGAACTGAACTAGGAACTGAACTAGAACTGAACTAGAACTGAACTAGAACTAGAACTAGAACTGAACTAGAACTGAAACTAGAACTGAAATAGAACTGAACTAGAACTGAACTAGAACTAGAACTGAACTAGAACTGAACTAGAACTGAACTAGAACTGAACTAGAACTAGAACTAGAACTGAACTAGAACTGAACTAGAACTGAAATAGAACTGAACTAGAACTGAACTAGAACTGAACTAGAACTGAACTAGAAACTAGAACTGAACTAGAACTGAACTAGAACTGAACTAGAACTGAACTAGAACTGAACTAGAACTGAACTAGAACTGAACTAGAACTGAACTAGAACTGAACTAGAACTGAACTAGAACTGAACTAGAACTGAACTAGAACTGAACTAGAACTGAACTAGAACTGAACTAGAACTGAACTAGAACTGAACTAGAACTGAACTAGAACTGAACTAGAACTGAACTAGAACTGAACTAGAACTGAACTAGAACTGAACTAGAACTGAACTAGAACTGAACTAGAACTGAAAGAACTGAACTAGAACTGAACTAGAACTGAACTAGAACTGAACAAGAACTGAACTAGAACTGAACTAGAACTGAACTAGAAATGAACTAGAACTGAACTAGAACTGAACTAGAACTGAACTAAAACTGAACTAGAATTGAACTTGACCTGAACTAGAACTGAACTAGAAATGAACTAGAAATTAACTAGAAATGAACTAGAACTGAACTAAAACTGAACTAGAAATGAACTAGAACTGAACTAAAACTGAACTAAAACTGAACTAGAATTGAACTATATTATAATTAATTGCAAATAAGAAATTAATTAAATTTCTTCACACCATCTCCCTTTCATAGATTTGTAGTAGTTTGCAGTTATCAATCTGGTTTACAAACGGTACGAGCCAGTTTCTCAGTGCCCGGACGTGGTGGTGCCTCTGCGGTACAACAAGATCATTACGATGAAGAGGAACGAATGGGTAGAGGTTTAAAGCCCATGCGTTATGTAGACAAAAGTGAATTGGTGTTAAAAGAAACAACAGAAAACAATGAAGAAGGGGCATCAGAAGAAACTCAAGCCATGGTTGAAGAAATGGACAAACCAACAATAAATTATAATAACAGTCTTCATGATGATGCTTCTCTGGTCGCAACGGATGATGATACAACAAATGCAGTTGCAACATTGGAAAATATAATACCGGGCATAAATGAAGAACACATTAAACATCAACAACAACAAACGGAAGTCAATGAAAATGAAGAACAAAATGAACAGCAAGAGGAAGAAAGTGAGCTAAAACACAGTATAGAATACAGTGAAGGCAGTGGTGTGGCGGCCACAACTAATGTCAATGATGAAGCTAACAATGATAGTGAAGATGAGGAAGCAGATGTTGCTGCTGCTAATACGGTCGATATTGAGGCTAAACATGGTCAACAACAATTTTCAGCCAAATTTGCCAAACTAACATTAGATCGTAATGAAAATGAGCTAGAGGATGAAGATGATAGTGATGATTTTGGAGCCACACCCACAGGGCGAGGTAAAATATTAATTATTTTATATTAAAATTTTAAACAAAACTTAATTTTACACTTGATATTTTAAATATCTTACACAAAATTTCCCATTTCTCTTTCTTTTATTTTTTAAATTTTCCCATACAGGTTTTGGTTCTGGTTTCGAATTAATTTCTCTCAACATGGGCAGTGTCATGTTGACGGTTTTATTATCTGTGATATTAATTGGTATTTTCATTTATGTTTTATATCGCGAAACAAATTTACCACCTCCCATAACATCAGCATCATCTACTACTTCGCTTAGCGCCTCTAACAGACATCATCTTCATCATCACCATCACCATCAGCACCTGCACGAACTGGACGACACTTTACCCAGAACATTAAAAACCAAAAATCAGGATTTATTGGCTTAACATTAGAGAAGCCTTGTTTACAATTATCTTTTATATATATGATCGTATTTTTAAAGCAATTTTTATAATGTTTTAATAACTTTCCCGCTTTTTTTTTTTTGGTGAAACTAACTACGCTTTATTGTCTTGCTGAAATCTTGCTAAATATGAATTTAATTCGAATCGAATCGAATTGAATTTTAGTTAAATATTTCATTTCAAAACGACTAAGCGTAGGCATCGTGATGCAAATTTTCCTCCTCCTCTAATACGTATTCTTATTTTTATAAAATAAACACAGTTAATACTCGTAGCAAAGACATCGTGTTAAAGAAGATTGTTTAAAGAAAATACTAGTTGAGTTTATGGGAAAATCGTAACAGAAAAGGAAGAGGAATTCCAAAGTACCGTCAATCGCTCATCTGATTATATAAGGTCCTGCGAGCCATTTGACTTTTGCTAATTTGAAATTATAAAAATATTAACTGACAATTTGGAAGTTCCGTTAGATTCAATATATCTCTCAAGTTTCTACGAATAATTCGATTTTCTGCGAAAAAAATGGTCCTTCGAAATGACTACATTATCGAACAAAATATATCAATTCAAAGATTAATGAGTTCAAAAAGTATTTCTTCTGCATCAACTGATCTTTCTCAATCAGTTCAGTTTCCAGTTCAGTTCCAGTTCAGTTCTAGTTCAGTTCTAGTTCAGTTCTAGTTCAGTTCCAGTTCAGTTCTAGTTCAGTTCTAGTTCAGTTCCAGTTCAGTTCTAGTTCAGTTCTAGTTCAGTTCTAGTTCAGTTCTAGTTCAGTTCCAGTTCAGTTTCCAGTTCAGTTCTAGTTCATTCTAGTTCAGTTCTAGTTCAGTTCTAGTCAGTTCTAGTTCAGTTCTAGTTCAGTTCTAGTTCAGTTCTAGTTCAGTTCTAGTTCAGTTTCTAGTTCAGTTTCTAGTTCAGTTCTAGTTCAGTTCTAGTTTCAGTTCTAGTTCAGTTCTAGTTCAGTTCTAGTTCAGTTCTAGTTCAGTTCTAGTTCAGTTCTAGTTTCAGTTCTAGTTCAGTTCTAGTTCAGTTCTAGTTCAGTTCTAGTTCAGTTCTATTAGTTCAGTTCTAGTTCAGTTCTAGTTCAGTTCTAGTTCAGTTCTAGTTCAGTTTCTAGTTCAGTTCTAGTTCAGTTCTAGTTCAGTTCTAGTTCAGTTCTAGTTCAGTTCTAGTTTCAGTTCTAGTTCAGTTCTAGTTCAGTTCTAGTTCAGTTTCTAGTTCAGTTCTAGTTCAGTTCTAGTTCAGTTCTAGTTCAGTTCTAGTTCAGTTCTAGTTTCAGTTCTAGTTCAGTTCTAGTTCAGTTCTAGTTCAGTTCTAGTTCAGTTCTAGTTCAGTTCTAGTTCAGTTCTAGTTCAGTTCTAGTTCAGTTCTAGTTCAGTTCTAGTTCAGTTCTAGTTCAGTTCTAGTCAGTTCTAGTTCAGTTCTAGTTCAGTTCTAGTTCAGTTCTAGTTCAGTTCTAGTTCAGTTCTAGTTCAGTTCTAGTTCAGTTCTAGTTCAGTTCTAGTTCAGTTCTAGTTCAGTTCTAGTTCAGTTCTAGTTCAGTTCTAGTTCAGTTCTAGTTCAGTTCTAGTTCAGTTCTAGTTCAGTTCTAGTTCAGTTCTAGTTCAGTTCTAGTTCAGTTCTAGTTCAGTTCTAGTTCAGTTCTAGTTCAGTTCTAGTTCAGTTCTAGTTCAGTTCTAGTTCAGTTCTAGTTCAGTTCTAGTTCAGTTCTAGTTCAGTTCTAGTTCAGTTCAGTTCTAGTTCAGTTCTAGTTCAGTTCTAGTTCAGTTCTAGTTCAGTTCAGTTCTAGTTCAGTTCTAGTTCAGTTCTAGTTCAGTTCTAGTTCAGTTTCAGTTCTTAGTTCAGTTCTAGTTCAGTTCTAGTTCAGTTCTAGTTCAGTTCTAGTTCAGTTATAGTCAGTTCTAGTTCAGTTCTAGTTCAGTTCTATTCAGTTCTAGTTCAGTTCAGTTCTAGTTCAGTTCTAGTTCAGTTCTAGTTCAGTTCTAGTCAGTTCTAGTTCAGTTCAGTTCTAGTTCAGTTCTAGTTCAGTTCTAGTTCAGTTCTAGTTCAGTTCTAGTTCAGTTCTAGTTCAGTTCTAGTTCAGTTCTAGTTCAGTTCTAGTTCAGTTCTAGTTCAGTTCTAGTTCAGTTCAAGTTCAGTTCTAGTTCAGTTCTACTTCAGTTCTAGTTCAGTTCTAGTTCAGTTCTACTTCAGTTCTAGTTCAGTTCTAGTTCAGTTCTAGTTCAGTTCTAGTTCAGTTCTAGTTCAGTTCTAGTTCAGTTCTAGTTCAGTTCTAGTTCAGTTCAAGTTCAGTTCTAGTTCAGTTCTACTTCAGTTCTAGTTCAGTTCTAGTTCAGTTCTACTTCAGTTCTAGTTCAGTTCTAGTTCAGTTCTAGTTCAGTTCTAGTTCAGTTCTAGTTCAGTTCTAGTTCAGTTCTAGTTCAGTTCTAGTTCAGTTGTAGTTCAGGTTGTAGTTCAGTTCTAGTTCAGTTCTAGTTCAGTTCTAGTTCAGTTCTAGTTCAGTTCTAGTTCAGTTCTAGTTCAGTTCTAGTTCAGTTCTAGTTCAGTTCTAGTTCAGTTCTAGTTCAGTTCTAGTTCAGTTCCAGTTCAGTTCTAGTTCAGTTCCAGTTCAGTTCTAGTTCAGTTCTAGTTCAGTTCTAGTTCAGTTCTAGTTCAGTTCTAGTTCAGTTCTAGTTCAGTTCTAGTTCAGTTCTAGTTCAGTTCTAGTTCAGTTCTAGTTCAGTTCTAGTTCAGTTCTAGTTCAGTTCTAGTTCAGTTCTAGTTCAGTTCTAGTTCAGTTCTAGTTCAGTTCTAGTTCAGTTCTAGTTCAGTTCTAGTTCAGTTCTAGTTCAGTTCTAGTTCAGTTCTAGTTCAGTTCTAGTTCAGTTCTAGTTCAGTTCTAGTTCAGTTCTAGTTCAGTTCTAGTTCAGTTCTAGTTCAGTTCCAGTTCAGTTCTAGTTCAGTTCTAGTTCAGTTCTAGTTCAGTTCTAGTTCAGTTCTAGTTCAGTTCTAGTTCAGTTCTAGTTCAGTTCTAGTTCAGTTCTAGTTCAGTTCTAGTTCAGTTCTAGTTCAGTTCTAGTTCAGTTCTAGTTCAGTTCTAGTTCAGTTCTAGTTCAGTTCTAGTTCAGTTCTAGTTCAGTTCTAGCTCAGTTCTAGTTCAGTTCTAGTTGGTTTTGTCTTAGAACAGACTCTCAGACGTTTTTTGGGTTTGCAGTCTTGTTTTGTAATACGATTTATTTTCTTTCTCGAGTGGTCTTTCGAACCCAAATATTTTTGAATTTTATTGATTTAAAAATTAGTCAGAATTCCTACAAACTCAATTAATATTCTCTGAAAACAATTCTACAAAATGGTGTTATTTAAAATAAACTTATTTTTTTTACAAGAACAAAAAAAAAAAACATTTAATGATAAAAAATGGCACTTTTTTTATAAGACTTAATTAATAATAAGCACAAATTATATTTTAAGATAAATTCTTTTATTAGATTTTAAGTACCTACTACATATATATTTTGTATAGAAAATAATATAAATTTATAGTACATAATAAATATAAAATAAAAAAAAATCAACTTAGAAAAAGCGATTCTTTTTATTTCAAAAATACCATGGAAAATAAACGTGACTTAACAAGAAAAGCAAAACGTAATAGAACTAATAACCAGATATCTTTTCCTTGCCTCTTGAGCTCTTTTACTAGTGAAATAAGAAAAAGAAATACAATAAAAAGTGGAACAATTTTTTCACGAAGCCCTTTTTTCAGCTTCAAACAAATAAAAAAAAATAGTATAAATAAAGTAAGTATAACTAGGTTAGGTTGACTGGTCTTGTCTAAAAGTTAGGAAGCTTTAAAGCAGTCTCAGCTTAGTATCAAGCCAACCAGTCAGCACCAGAAGTATCACTATCATTTTATTCTTTTCTCTTTTTTTGTTCCTCAATATTTTTCTATTTATTTTCTAAGTAATGCGTTTTTTTTTCTTCATACTTCTAAAGTTTTAGCCATTTGGTTGGGGATTAAAGTGTGAAGAAATATTTTATACAAGTATATTTTAAGTGTTGTTCTAGGAGTGTGAGCCAGAGTATAATTTAGTGTAATAATATAAACGAATATTTTTTAAACTCTTGTTAATAATTTGTTCATATTCTTACAAGTAAATACATACATACTATTCTCATGTATACATATATTCTTATATTCTTATGTTTCATTTGGTGGCCAACAGCTTTGAAAAAATGATTGATGTAGAATGTTTAATAATAATAGTAATTTAAGATTTTTCGCATTTATGATATGGGGGGAGGGGATAAAGTAATTTCTTTTTAACTGTTAAATAAAGTAATTGAAATTCTAAGAGTTTTCGATTAGGAAGTAAATAGATTATATGGGAGTCATTATGTAAAAATTGTTTAGTAGGTCATGATTTGGAAAAGTTTAACAAATCAATATATTGTCGGAGAAATAGAGACACGAGACTTTAGTGAGAACTTTGTTAGCAATTTCATTGACTTCCCAGCAAAAGCTTTCATGACAAAGTAAGAGATTAAGTGCTAAACTTTGCTACACTTATCATGCCCGCTTAAACATAGGGAGTTAAGTAAGTAGTTCTGTTCTAGTTCAGTTCTAGTTCAGTTTTATTTCAGATCTAGTTCAGATCTAGATCAGTTCTAGTTCAGATGTAGTTCAGTTCTAGATCAGTCCTAGTTCAGTTGTAGTTCAGTTCTAATTAAGTTCTAGTTCCAGTTCAGTTCTAGTTCAGTTCTAGTTCAGTTTTAGTTCAGTTCAGTTCTAGTTCAGTTTTAGTTCAGTTCTAGTTCAGTGCTAGTTCAGTGCTAGTTCAGTTCTAGTTCAGTTCTAGTTCAGTTCTAGTTCAGTTCTAGTTCAGTTCTAGTTCAGTTCTAGTTCAGTTCTAGTTCAGATCTAGTTCAGTTCTTGTTCAGTTCTAGTTCAGTTCTAGTTCAGTTCTAGTTCAGTTCTAGTTCAGTTCTAGTTCAGTTCTAGTTCAGTTCTAATTCAATTCTAGTTCAGTTTTAGTCCAGTTTTAGTTCTAGTTCTAGTTCAGTTCTAGTTCAGTTCTAGTTCAGTTCTAGTTCAGTTCTAGTTCAGTTCTAGTTCAGTTCTAGTTCAGTTCTAGTTCAGTTCTAGTTCAGTTCTAGTTCAGTTCTAGTTCAGTTCTAGTTCAGTTCTAGTTCAGTTCAGTTCTAGTTCAGTTCTAGTTCAGTTCTAGTTCAGTTCTAGTTCAGTTCTAGTTCAGTTCTAGTTCAGTTCTAGTTCAGTTCTAGTTCAGTTCTAGTTCAGTTCTAGTTCAGTTCTAGTTCAGTTCTAGTTCAGTTCTAGTTCAGTTCTAGTTCAGTTCTAGTTCAGTTCTAGTTCAGTTCTAGTTCAGTTCTAGTTCAGTTCTAGTTCAGTTCTAGTTCAGTTCTAGTTCAGTTCTAGTTCAGTTCTAGTTCATTTCTAGTTCAGTCCTAGTTCAGTTCTAGTTCAGTTCTAGTTCAGTTCTAGTTCAGTTCTAGTTCAGTTCTAGTTCAGTTTTAGTTCAGTTCTAGTTCAGTTCTAGTTCAGTTCTAGTTCAGTTCTAGTTCAGTTCTAGTTCAGTTCTAGTTCAGTTCTAGTTCAGTTCTAGTTCAGTTCTAGTTCAGTTCTAGTTCAGTTCTAGTTCAGTTCTAGTTCAGTTCTAGTTCAGTTTTAGTTCAGTTCTAGT